TTGGTACATGATTCAAAGTTAGTATGCAGGTACAGCAAGTGATTAGGAAAGCCTACAACATGTTGTCATTTATTGCAAGGGGAATGAAATATACAAGTAGATAGGTTTTGTTACCATTCTACAGGGTATTAATGTGACTACATTGAGCATACCGTAAATAGTTTGGTCTCTATTTAAGAAAGACATCAGAAGCAGTTCAGAGAAGGTTCACAAAACTAATTCATGGTATGCGGGGACTATCATGAGAGGAAAAGTTCAACAGGGCAGACTTGTATTCATTGGAATTCAGAAGGATGACAGGTGATCCAACTGAAACATACAAGATCCCACAAGTACTTGACAGAGTGGATGCTGAAAAGCTACCACCACTTGTGGGACAGACTAGAACGACAGGATGATTTAACAACAGGAGATCTCCCATTTCAGATGGAAACAAGGCTTTTTTCCTGAGGGTTGAGAGTCTGTAAAGCATTTTTCAAGAGAGTGGTGGAGACAGTCATTGATTTTTAAGGTAGAGATAATAAGGGAGTCAGTGGTTATTAGGGTGAGTTGTAAAGTGAAGATGAGGTCGCAGTCAGATCGGTCATAATGGCAGAGCAGCTCAAGGACTGAATGGCCTATACCTGTTCCGATACGGATGTTCATAGAACACAAATATCACTGATGGCGTGAACTATTCACCTGAATGAAATTTTTTTTAAACTTAAAATTGTTCTTTAAAAGCAGATTTCAAAATATTATCAATGAAAATATCAAATGTAAACTCAATTCTACTCAGGTCTGAGCCATAAAGTATGTTTCTTTCTTAAAGAACTTAATTCCTCACAACAAATGTCGATTTCAGATAATTCAGAAGCAAAAGGTCATGCTTTATAAGTTATCAGAGATAGTGAACATGGTTGAGAATGGTGGATATAATTTAGAAGGTGTTAAATAAATTGTTATAAGGTGACATTTCCAAAGACAACAGCTTATGAAGTTGGCAGTAAATTCGTTTGAAATCAGGCTTAAGATTTGGAAGTACAGGGCTTTTTTGGCTGTTGAGAGTTGGGACAATGACAATTTAAATTCTCCAGAAATTTCTGCTGGATTCCTTTATTCATGATATCCCCTAGGATTTGGAGGAAGCCACTGCCTGTAACACTGGTAGCGGTGATATAAACAGCATTGAAATAGGAGTAGGTCAATTAAGTGCATGGACTAAGATGTGGCTAATGAACTGGAATAGAAATATGAAACATCAACACATGGAAATGTCAGTTTGCAAAAAAGGAAAAGGATCTTGATATAATTCTTGTGTATTCAAGTAACAAGGTCAACAATGCTAACTGTGTTTGAAACTCGTTTGTCTCATGAGATAATGATTAATTCTCAATCCTGTTAAGTGTTGTCAATTTGACACAAAGGTCAAGCACTTCCTTGAAACTTGAATGCACAAATACAATTAGACCCAGGCTTCACAGGGAAAATTAAATATCCATCTTAAATGAATATTCTTTCTTTCATGCATTTTGGGTTTCACAAATTACAGGCCACAGTCAAGGTCCTCAGCATTTTTATTCTCTACAAGTTCCTCTTGATGATGACTGTTGCAAAAGCAGTTTCAAAACAACAGTAGAAAGGTACAAACAACACAGTTGTTAAAGTCAATTCCAACGCGTGCCTCTATTTGGAACTCAACCACTCACCTTAGGTCTACATTCATGTGCAAAGCCAATTTAGAGACTTGGACTCCTCTTCAGATTCAGGGCTTTGAATTACATGAAATGCTGTTCATTCACATAATTCAATTACCATTACAAACTGCTATCAAGGTGGTATCGAAAAATATGTTATACTTTCTCTAGTGTGGTGCCAGTTTGATTCCTGAACTATAATCAAGTTCCTAGGAGCGATGATCACCAATAATCTGTCCTGTCGATGCAATGGTCAAGAAAACACAACAACGTTTCTTCTTCCTCAGGAGGCTAAGGAAATTTGGCATCTCCATGAAGACTCTTACCAACTCGTATAAATAGAATACTTTCTGTGGTGTATCTGGATGCATCATGGCTCAGTACAGCAACAACTCTGCCTAGGACTGTAAGAAACTGCAGAGTTGTGAACACTCCCCATTCCATCACGCAAGCCAATCTTCCATCCATTGACTCCATCTATACTTCTTGCTGCTTCAGGAAGGCAGCCAATGTCATCAGACCCCTCCCTCCCAAGTTACACTCTGTCAGGCAGAAGATACGAAAGACCGAAACACACTGGCCAACAGATTCAAGAACAGCTTGTTTCCCCACTTGTCAGACATCTGAATGGACCTTTCAAATTTAATTTTTACCTTTCTGTGTGCACCGTTTATGCACCCGTAACGTTGTATCCTCGCTCTGTTCTATTACCCTAATGTACTTTATATGGTATTATCCGCCTGTACGACACACAAAAAACAAAACTTCTCACCGTACCTAGGTACATTTGGCAATAATAAATCAAATAAGTAAACTGCCACATTCTGCTGCTTCTGAGGAGTTTTACACTTAAATAATTTAACCCCACTGTTTAACCTGTCTACGAGGCTGCCTTTCTACTCTCAGACCTGATGTGGTGATTACTGCACTCCTTTTCCAGTGAAAGATATTACAAAGATCAGTCCCTAATTGTTAAACCCAGGAATGCTATCCTGTACCTCTCAATAGTGCAAGTTTCAATTCATTTCAAGACCAGACAACAGTTTCTTAGAGCAGACTACGGAAAGTACAAATGGTAATGGTCGTCAGTAGCTGGTGCTATAGAAGATCAAAAGGTTCCAACACTATAATAACATTGAGGATTGACCAACCTTCCAATCAGTTTTAGCCTATAATTTAGTTCTTTTGGCAAACATTAGAGTACACTTTCACTTTTTCTTTTTTTTATTAAGAAAAGAAACTGAACAAAATACAGTCTTTTTTCCATATGTACATTACATACAACATAATTCTACAGTTGCATTTGTTCACTGGGTCTACACATTCAGTTATTCACAACAAGGTAGTGCATAAATTGTATACTTTTCAGCAAGTGTTGGGATCTTCATACTTTCAAAACGAAATGGAATAAACACACCATTTCGATCAGCTCACAGGTTAAATCTGCTCAGCGGAACCTTGGGTTTGCTTGTAACATAACATTCTGTTACAGAGGTTGCTGAACAATCAATGACTAAAGGGAAAAACATTCCCTGGACCCATATTCACAAATAACCCAAAGTCTAACGGGAATCTGTACATGATGTATTGCATAAATGTTTATGAATACAGGCCCCTGTGCACTAATCAGGATCATAGACACACAAACATGAATAACTGAAGCACCAAACTGGGTTCAATACCCATATAAACAACTGAAAGCTTTCTTAAAACTGTGCACACTTCCAAATCCTTTGGCCAATCATTTCTCAACAGTGGTCTTCTGGTTGATTAACCATATTTAGTAAAAATCATAATTACTCACCATTTGAGAGGGATGGATTAACAAATGCTTACTCAGTCAATGCTTTAGGTATCACAAGCCAAGCAATCTGTGTGACTTTCTTTGATTGTATCATTGGACCGTGTACAATAAATTTATTGCAACTTATCCAAAGCAACAGGTCCAAACAGGAAAGGGTAGGCCTACACTATATTTAATGTACTTTGGGCATTCCCAGACAGAGAACGTAACCACATACCTCACTAAACCAATACATTTGTGTCCTTCATTAGAAACAGTCAGGTAGAGCAGGGCAATTCTACACTGATTAAAAACCCCTCTGATTGAAATGCTGAGAAACATTAATACTTCAGATTAAAACAAATGGTGATATTGTTTTATGATACCCAATCACCAAGACATCTTGCTGTACCCAAAACTTGGGTACACCTAGTAGAAAATTCATTATTGCAATTACCAAATTTACACAAGTGGTTTAAAAATGAGTTTTAGATTTCTAGAACCTCAGCATCTACCACAGCAATATTTATTCACTGCCCATCAAGGTCACACATGTATACATGTCGGTAATTCATCAGTCTGAATGATAGAATTTGTTGACCAGACATTTGCAAGAGGAAAGGAGACAGAAAAATTTAAATTGACGGACATTCGGTGGCACTCTGTCCAAACCACAAACTATTTGTCCATTTTTTAAAAAAAAAATGAAGGGAGTTTTGCCACACTTGCCATTCCAGATAAATTGCGTTCAGCAAGCATTTGTATAAATATCAATTTAAAAATACTTATAGTCAAGCTTGCTGAATGTTGATAACGGAGTGTTAGCCCTACTTTATCAGAATCAACAAAAAGGTGGAATTTAAAAGAAACCTTTATCAACACTCCAGAAAACAGCACTGATAAATGCAGGAAAACATAGGTTATTTACCAAGCGTGAGCAAAGGCAGAAAATGCCTTCGGCCAAACAAACTACGACATCAGGCGTTAAGTAATCCTATTTAAATTCAACTAATTTGCTCAAGTGGGCTATAAAAGGTGAAAAATAATTATTAAAACCCCAAGATAATGGATCCACCCTGTGCACTGAGAAGCTCTACAACACCCATAAATGTTAATCAAGTTAAAGTCAAAGGAACTTAACTACATTTCTCCCTACATTTACTAGTAAGTGGCAGGAACAGAGATTGGCATTTTTAAAAAGGTCAAGAGGCAAGAAATTTAAACCTTTCCCAAAGGTGCATGCTTTCTTTTCATCCAATTATAGTTCTTTTGCGGTACATATTCCAACTAGAAAAATTATGATGGGAATATATAATTTTTCTAGAAAAAAGGTTAATATACAGATAAAGGTCCTTTACAATGTGCATGAAATTCACGTTGGAGTTGTATTCAAACCATTCACAATGCATTTTCTGCTTCTTTCTGGTTTCAATCTTTAGCATTCCCAGTTTATTTTATTTAATCTGTATGCTTGGGTCTGTTGCCTCACGAGCTTTGTAATTATTCAAGAGGGAACCGATTTGACCAGCACTCTTGAGAATCCACCAGAGTTCGAAAAATTGCAGCAATAATTCCATTGCTAGCCCATTGTGCCACCCACTGGCACTTTTTTAAACTGCAACATCAACAAATAACGCAAAACAAAGTACCTTTATGGTTTGAAATACACTAAACTTCAATGAAGGTGCCAAATAAACATTTCAATAATGTTGCAAAAAAAAAGGAAACACCTGACACGGTCTATTTAATGGAATTTTGCTACTGATACTAGTCCAAATTCTGTACCTAACTGCAGTGCACATGAAAATCAATTTATTTCCCTCAAGCATACTCAATGCTTTTTGACCTTTGTTCAATGTCTCCTACTTTCTAATATTGAATGTATTTTTGAAATGTACACAAAAAGGTACAATATATTCATTCTCAAATTGTGTCCAAAACACAATGTAGACACTAACTTACCTTAAAGGAAGAAATAGATCAGTTTGAGCTTTTAAAACGAGATATCCATTCCCTTGCTCAACCCCTGGAGCACTCACCCAATTCAGCAACACACTTAATTTCACTTCTATACTGTGTTGTTATTTTAAACAAAGTCACAATAGCCTTTGTGATAAGTAGGAGATATAAAATTAATCTAATCTGTTCAAATTACACTCCTCGTTTAAACTTGGCTTTTAACAATTTTTTTTAAGGATCTCTCAAACTAAGAGCTACTGTTGGGAACTTGAAGCTTCTCTTTCAAGCTTTCACCACAGTATGCTTTTCATTCATAACTTCAGTTATCTTTTCTTTTGTTCATACATTTTGTTTTTAGGCATTTTCATCCTTTTGCACCTTCTTAAAAATTAAATCTTCAAACTAGGTTTGTTCCAATATGTTGGATAAGGGCAATTAAAAAAGACACCCACCTAACTACCATTTTGAACAATTCCACCAGTTCCAATTCTGACATTTAGCTACTTATTAAATTAGGATAATAAGCTATCACAACTTTTACATGCATACAACTCGAACCTGCTTAACCAATTAATTAGATCATCGCTGATCTGACACATCAAGCAAAAATGTATCCTCACCAGATTATTATACCTCAATCATACTAGGTTTGTACTCCACAAATTTCACTTCACTTTGTGGGATGAAGACTAAAAAACAAGGAGATTAAAGGTGAAACGCGATCTGATTACTTCATTTTACAAGGACAGCTGGTTCTAGATGCTCAGCTTTCACTTTTGAATCTAGACTGTTTGAACTAAAGCAAAATTATTTCAGCTTCATAGGCCCATACACTAGTATTTCAGCCAACCTGGTTTAAACAACACTTTCTTTCCTACCACGTTCACAAAATACATATTTGAGTATGCAATGCAGGCATGAAGATCTTTAATGAGATCAAGATGCTCACAGGTTAATAACAGGCCTAAGAATTGTTCCACCTACTTTTCGATGATCAACATTCAAAGTATGCAATGCGTTCAATACAATCTTTACACTGCTAAACAGGAAACTGAAACAAGCCCATAAGACAGTGAAAAATTGCACGGAACATCTCCATTTTCAGAAGAGAACTTTAGTACTAATTAATAACAAATTCTGGGCAATATTACTCAATAAACTCCAAAATCTAGACTAACCAACTTCATTTAAAAAAATATGGCTGCTTGAATTTTTTTGTGCACCAATACTGTGAAGGATTGGGTTTCAAGAGGCCTTAAACAAACTCAAAACTTGAAAGTGCATTTAAGCGTAAAAGGCCTCTCCCTTAAACGGCCAGACAGCGGATTGAAGAAACTCCAAATACTTCAATAGTACCAGGTCACATCAATGTGCCTAATAATGAATTACTTTTTGAAGCTGTTGTTGTTATATAGCAGACAATTTCCACACAGCAAGGCCTCAAACAATAGCAGAATAAACTATTAGCCCATCTCTGTTTGTGATGGCTGCTGCAAGGGGATGTCAGTGCTAAATCGTGTTGGGTAGAAGGTGGGTAGAGGGAGAAATACTGGCTAAGACATGCACATTAGCAGAGGAAATGCAACACACTTCTAACTAGATACAGCACAGTAAACCGCTGCAGCTGTGGATCAACCGTAAGTCTGATGCAAAACTGAATATTAAATGTTGAATTGTTGGCGATTCAGTAATCTCTAAGGTACGAGAAGAGCAAGTCATCAGTCATAGTAACTCATCTGGAAAGGTGTCAAGCTGTAAATCAGGGAATTAAGTCTCATCCCACAAAACAAAATGTGAGCTGTAAAGTATTTGGAGACAGTAACAAAGTTTGAGTACAAGTCAATCCAACCTGATTTAGTGTGGCAAAATTTGACCCGTGCATTCATGTTTTTTCTTCTAATTATAGAATAGCTCATAAAAATGAATGAATCAGCCAGGTGCTTTATGCATTCAAGGCTCACAACTGTTTCAATTTTATTTGTGCCAGTTAATTAAAATGTCGACATAAATCGGCGAGGTATTTCTAAAAAGATAAAGAAATGTTCGCCAAGCTATAGGGGTAAACTTAAAACTTAAGATATTACCATGCAACTATTTGGGCCATTAGTCAAAAAACTATAATACAGGACAGTAATATGGTAGTTCTTTCATACCAATTAATCATTAGTCCTTTCCAATAATTTTGAGAAACTTGGCAAATTGAACCATATTATGGTCTGTTTTTTTGTGCTTTACAAGGATAGTTAACAGTAATTCAAAACAAAAGCAGACCAAAAGATACAAAGGAAATCTGTAACACAAAAATAGTAGTTCAGCCTACATGAGGCAGAAGCTACTAGTTTTTGTTGTAATTCTTCAAGAGATAACCAATCTTTAGCTTTTCAGATGTTGATGGCCAGGTTTTGCACTCTAAACACTGCTTTATCTAAAGAAAAAGTTCAGAAGGAACAGTTGAGCAATTTGTGGCGTTGCCACTGCAAAAGGCAATTATAAATGTAAGGTTTTTATTCGATTTTTCGTCTTCCAGTCAGAAGCCACAAATATTGCCTAGGACTTTTTAAACTTTTCTTTGGCTCACACCTGTGATTTCGTTCTGATCATTAAAGCTTTCCAATACTTACTCTGACATATTCTACACAATGAAGCCCACAGCCCCAACTGTGGAAGTGCACAACAACTAGGCTCAGTGGATTATTAGCAACAAGCGTTATCTGACAAAGACAAAGGGGATTGCTGAAACACACACTGAATTACAACACTCCATATATTAAAACAGGAGAATGTGCATATTAAACATTTGGACGGAGTTTTTGTTGGGTCCAGTTCTTAACTTCACAATCGTAGGCATATTTTTAAATCGTGGAATCAAGTGCAGGAGGTGCACTTTTGCAGCGACCCTTTTCAATTTTGTGTAGTAATTGCTGGCATCATTATTTCGTTGTTCTCATTAAAACAAAGTAAATGCTTTTCTGGTGTCTGTATTTCCAAAATGCCCTGAACTCTTACTAGCACTGCATCAAAACCATCAGGGCAGGTTGGTTACCAATTAAAAGTCACTGCGTAAAACCACCAGAAACAATACGCTTTGGTTAAGTTGATCTATTTTTGAAATTTATGATTCAGAACTGGATCTGTTCAAAAATTGCTTCTTGATTTCAGCACAGGTTTCTAGAACCTGTAAAACAATTCTGTGCCACACTGGTTGAGTTTTAGTTTGGGGACGGGGCTCAAGTTTCTGGTTTTAGAAAGAATTCACTAAATACCTTGTTGTGTGAAACAGCAACCAGTCCATTTTATACATTGGTATATGGCAACATTTGAGAAATGTGAAAAATGTTGCCTGTATCATAAACACATTTACATACATACTGTTGGAAGATGTTTCTTTGATTCTATTCTTTTAACACTCCTGCCATTTTTCCAAAAAGGCAATATCACACCAAGCATCTTCACAGTTATCAGACTGGGGAATTTAGCAAAACAAAGTGAAGATCACAGGGCCAAATCTAAATAAACGAGGAGCCCATCAGCAGCAATGCTAACAAAATCCTGACTCTCTAATAGTGCGTCAAGAAGCAAATCAGAATTTTCAGCGGTGCAAGTTGTTTGGTAGAGGCACGAATGCAGCAACGTGAAAAAGGTCTTCATTCGACTTTGTTTTTAAAAAGAAGATACTCTTTTTAGGAGCCATTTGTGAAAACCAAATTTAAAACTTTCTTCTATAAAAAAGGGAAAAAAAATCTTTGCCTCTAACAGTTCAGCACAGAACCAGCACAAAGAGAACAATCCAGTGAGGTAAATTATCGTAATTCAGACAAGTGAAAGTGTTTCATTTTGTCACTGCTAAGCGCGTCTGTTTAGCAGCTCGGTTGCTATCATCCTCCACACAAGCTTATTGCAGGAGGAATTTAAACTGTAATGAGACAATGGATTAAAAATACATAAATAATTCGTGTACAAAGCAGTGGAACTCAAACCTGCATCAGCCAAAATCTTCCACAATTTCCTTATCAGCAATTACAATAATTATTTCAGGTTCCCAAAGATGTGAAAGAATTAAAATACATCTTCTGAGAAACATATCAAAAATTAAAATACTATAACAAGGTCCCCATTTCGAAGTTTCAAATATGTACTTTAACTGGCACCATTGACCATATCTATCTTTGGCAGCTGAGCTGAATTTTTGTTTCACTGGAAAAACATCAGTTTCAAGAAATGACATTACAACTGATGACTAAACTTCACAACATGCTTTACATCATTACGAATTATGAAAAATAACACATGATGCAAGAAATGACTGAAAACTGGGCTCTTTTTCTATTATATGGAAGCTAACTGCATAAAGGGTTCAAAACCAAACTTCTACTGCTTCAAAGCAACCACCTTACCAACACAGCTTATCAACAACTGTTCGCAGATCACACACATTCTAACATTGTCTATCACTTAGCAAATAAAGCGAGGAGGGACTCTGAACCAGTCTGACAGAATATCTACCACTTTGTTCCAATTTAACTTTTAAAAAAAGGGCAATGTGGATGTCACACATCCTGAATAGTAGTAGGAAACACCACTGAATTTCTGCCATAAAACAGATCTTTTCACAAGTGCTTTCTCAGACTCAGTAAGAAACTCCAAACCAGAGACTGACTGGATCTTTGCCATTCATTTTTCTGTGACCAACATCACATTCAAGAGGTGAATTAGCAAACTCAAAAAAGTGAGAGTAGTCTTGCTTCCAAAATAAAAATTGGTGGACCTCACTTTTCAGGGGAATATACTTAACAGTAGGCTTTGGATTCTGATTATCTGTACCTTGCACCGTGGACCAGCTGGGAAAGGCAAATTGCTGATAACTACAAGTTTTGACAGCAATTGTTTTTTTGACATAACCTTGTCCCAAGAGGAAAAGATTTCTCTGGATCCTTCGTACCTTTAAAGCAGACAGCTCAGCAACAAATATTTTGAAAGTTGTTTTTTCTTAAACCATGCTATTAAGGAAACTAAGAGAGAAATGTGACGAATGTGAAGGCAGTCCAGTTTACAGAAGGACTGGGAATGAAGTGCAAGCATTAAAATTAATAGTATTATGAATCAATTCTAAAGTAAAATGCATCCCAACAATGGCAGCAAATCTACTCAACCTGCTGAGAATTCAAGAGTCAACTCACCCCAGAGGGCAATCTGTAATGCTGCAGTCACAATACATGCACAGCACTAATTTAATCTCAAAAATATCGCTGCACCTTTTAAAGCAGTTATTAATATTGCTGTGGAGACCAGAGAGAATGGGAACAGTACATAAAACACCATGTGACTTCAAGGGTGTGGACTACTGGACTGTAAATGGACAAACGTTGACTGAAATACTGAAGTATCTTTGTAGCATTATTCCAAAACATTAAGAACGTCAACTGCATGTCTCGACTGAAACTCTGATGGCAGGATTTATTATTAAATCCAAATATTTACCAACAAGCAAGGGACTGAACACACAATGAGAAGCAAACCCATATTCACAAAACTCATCTGTTTCAACCCAGTTTTATCGTCTGCATTAAAACAGCATTGAAATTAGACACTCAAATCAAAACTAGATGAAAGGTGACGCATTACAAAAAAAAAATCTTTGCGAGCCAAACATCATAAGCCAATCTAGCCTGTACAAAACAGGAGATCAGATTTATATTTCAGTTTCTCTTCAGCCAAAATCCATCAATTGCTGTCCAGCTACAGTGTGATGAGGTCAACCAGGTTGCCTTTTGGAGGCGTCATGCTGTCAGGAAAGAAGTTTACCAGCGTGTCAAATAGCAGAGTCCTCTGGGCGTAAGTCTGATCAACGTCTGAAAAACCTGTTGAGAAATGAGACAGGCAAATGAACACCAAATGAATGACATCAATGTAATGCTTAGAGTAAACAGATAATGACACTGAGGGTAATAAAGCAAAGGACTCCTAAGCGAGACATTTAAAAAACTGTTCAGATAGAATTTGAGCTCGGGGAAGGACACAGTCCTAATAAAGTTGCATTATCGATCACGATTAAATACCAGCCACGCTCTTAATGGATTCATTACTGCCATACCTTGTTAATGTTTCTTACAGTTTATCAGTTTTAGCTGCAATCAACTGGAGGATATCATAGGTCTTAAAACAGGTTATATTAGAAATGGGCAAATTCTAAGGTTGGAATACAACAACGGACCATAAATCAGTTCAAAGAAAGAAATGCTCCACACACACTTCTCTAAATAGATCATATACTACCAGAGAAAAACACAATCGCAGAACATTTTTAGTGGTCTTTTTGTGTTTGTCTTTTAGGTAAATTGCTTAAGGCAACATAGCCATGGCCAACAGCTTTAACGTGTTAGTCCATGTTGTGCTGCATTGGTCTCCAGCATATTAGGGTGACGAGTGATGGGTGCTAGATTCCCACCCTATTCCTCTGTAGGCGAGTTCTGCCTTCAGCGAGCTTACTTTGTGAGGCAGCCCATTCTTGTTTCCAACTTACTCAGTCTGCCACCGGCATTTAAAAAATTATGGTTTCATTTTCTGACGATGTAATGTAATTGTTAAAATTCTACAGCTGACAAAAATTAAAGCAGCTTGAAATGGAAAGAAAAAATAAATTGCCTGCAAGACTTTCAAGAAACATAACTTTGATACTGGATTTACTTTTGCATTACGGTATTAATTGGAACAACACACACAGGTTAGCTAGCATTCGTGGAGGGAGGGCACTAGTTTCAGCTTGATAATCTTGTTATAACTTCCAGGTTGCCAGATTATACAAACAGGTTTAAATTTTGTTTACAAAGCAGCTGAACAGCTACTTATCCAGCAGACATAGAATTACATAGAACGCAAACAGCTTTACAGCACAGAACAAGCCATTTGACTCAAAGCTTTACGATATTAACCCTTCTCATTTTTTGACAAATTTCTACCTCATGTACTCATCTAGCTTTCTCTTTAACGCAGAAGTGATTTTGCCCTCAAACAATCCACACCGTAACCCATTTCAGAACTCTCACCACTCATATCAATATTGGATAATGTAAGCATTATAAGAACACTTACCTAATGGTATGAAATCTGAGCTTGACTTGAAGAGTGCCTGAGCCAGTAACTGAAACTTGAGAATAAAGGTAATACATAAGTTACAAATGTATAAAGCAAACAGAATCACTCCATGTTGTTAAAATATACAAGCTGAAAATAAATGGCAAAGCCAGAAACTGCAAATTTGTCTTCTTTCCCACCCCCGCCACCCCCACAGATTTTGCCTGAACAGAGAATCTGCAGCATTTTTTCTTTTTAACTTTATTTATAATACATTATCCTCTTAGGTTAAATAGCCATAATTCAGCTCTGTAATGTTGTTTAGCTGCAGCTCCATGACCTGTTTTTAAGGTATGGAAGAAACATCATTTTAAAAGGCAATACAAACATGATGATGAGAAAAGCATAAAGCCTCACCGATCGCACTAATTGAAAAGCTGATTCATGAAATGCACAGCAACAGAAAATCCCAGCACTGGCCCAAAGTTTACTTTACATATGCAATCTATACAAGGTAGACCCGGAATGGAGGTACCAAGCAATAGCCAGGTGCTTCAAGGGAGTGGGCCAGGCATCCCAGCTCAACACTGTTTATCCGACTGCAGAATGGCACTGGCAAATCTTGAATAAAGGCTACTCCACTGAACTGGTGTAGTGGGTAGGAAAGGTGTCAATAAGATTGCAAAACAGACACAGAAATGCAAAATAATTGTTGTCAATTCACTCCAATAATCTGAACCAGTGAGTCCCAGAGCAAACATCTCTAAGTACAGTCATTTAGGTGACATACAACTGTAAACTTGTTCCACTTCCCGACTGCGAATGCAGTCTTTCGAACAGCTGTTAATCCCAATGTTTGTTATTTGTGGTACTTTTTGACTAAGTGTCCCTTGGTGTGATTCTGTAGCTTGAAAAACAACTGGATTGGTAAATAGCATTAGTGGCCCAAGCTGCTAATAACTGCTTACAAATTCACAGAAACCAGTCCAGCACAAAAAGCACCATCTCCATACAAAGTTATCACATTTAGCAGCTATGCAGGACCTCACATGCTGTTGCAATGCACATTAATTGGTTCAGCAGTAAACCAGTCTGTTGCCAATCTGAAGATCAGAAGAATGGGAGGCAGTACACACCCAGCTAAAGTAAAGCATATAATGACCTTTCAACAGAAGAAACAGTACCATAATCACCACAGATTATAGACTGACTGAACAGAGTGTTATAGCTAAGCTGCTGCAGGTTGTATTTAAACGGTGCCTTTAATTTAAGAGTTCCAAGGTACATCACAGAGTGTGTTCAAACAAAAAATAACAGGAAGCCACATATGGACAGAGTTAGGAAGGTGGCCAAACATTTAGTTAGAGCAAAAGGCTTTAGAAGAACATTTTAAAGGATGGCAGAAAGCGGAGAGATATGGGAATTCTGTCGCTCAAGGTTTATGCATCTGTAAACTAAAAGGGACACTAAGGAAGCCCACCTGTGACACACTAGTAGCTACCACATGTATCATCTACGAAACGCACTACAGAAATTCACCAAGGTTCTGTAGATAGCACTTTCCAAATCAACTATTACCATCTAGAAAGATAAAGGCAGCAGATATATGGCAACACCACCAGCTGCAAGATCCCTCTCTGAGCCATTCATCATTCTAACTTGGAAATATATCATGGTTCCTTTAGGGTCACTGGGTCAAAATCCTAAATCTCCCTCCCTAACCAGCATCACGGCCGCACCGACAAACAGACAGCAGTAGTCCTAGAAGGCAGCTCACTACCGTCGTCGTCTTAGCAATTAGGGATGGCCAATAAATGCAGGCCAAGCCAGCAAAGCCACATCCCCTGAAACAATTTAGAAATGGGGCAACCAAAATATCAAAAGTTGTGGGTCTAGAGGAAATTACTGAGATAGCATATGGCTAAATCATGGGAAAAAAAAAATCTAAAATCCAGAATGAAAATTTGAAGTTAAGGCATTGCACATTCAATGCAGGCCAGTGAGCATAGGAGAGCTGGGTTACAGGGTTTGATGGAAACAAGGACATTGGCAAGATAGTTTTGTATGACCTCAAATAGAATACTGAAGGCCAGGTAGGAATGCACTGTAGTAACCCCAGAATCAACTATTCCAGACATGGGTAAAGCAGTTGGCAACAGCTGATCTCCTGATCTATGTTACGTAGATGGAAACAGGTGGTTTAAAATGACACTCAGGATACATGGTCAGAAGCACATCTCAGTATCAAACAGGAATCCAAGATTGCCTGAACGAGACTGACTGCAGACAACTGGCAAGGAAGAAAGTTTCTAGAAGGAACTGGAGACCAGTATTCCAATATTCTTGAGACAAAGTTCCTGCTCACTCGATGCTAAAATGTCAGACAAGCAGTTTGAAAATTTAGCAACAGTCAATGCCCATTATTACAAAATGGAGGCCCAAAAAGTCAGTAATGCAAAGTCAGGAGAAAAAGTCAAATAAAAAAAACATTCATGGCGCATGCTAAACTGCAGCAGGCAACATAAACACAATGAAAAAAATAACTAGGGGCACTTATTTTGTCAGGGTTCACCAGAACTACCAAGAACTCAACAATTTCAGCAATGAGGTCAATTACATCTGTTCAGGTTATTGCCATCTTTCTTTGAACTACACATTTCCCTTGATAAGAAACAGCACATTGTATTAGAGGCAGTATATTAGAATAGGTAAAGGACTGGCTAACTATTAGAAGGCAAAGAATTGGGATATAGCATCAAGACAGACAGAGGGCTGGTGATTACAAAGTTGGTAGGCCTTTTCTCCCCCATCTCTATTCATTTGTGGGATGTGGGCAATGATGGCTGGCCAGCATTTCTTGCCCATCCCCAGTGGCCCTGGAGAAGGTGGTGATGAGCTGCCTTCTTGAACCGCTGCAGTCCTCCTGCTGTGGGTTGGCCCACTATGCTATTCGGGAGAGAATTCCAGGATTTTGACCCAGCGACAGTGAACGAACAACTATATGTTTCCAAGTCAGGATGGTGAGTGATTTGGAGGGGAACTTGAAGGTTGTGGTGTTCCCGTATGTCTGCTGCCCTTGTCCTTCTAGATGGAAGCAGTCCTGGGTTTGGAAGGTGCTGTCTGAAAATCTTGGGTGAATTTCTGCAGTGCATCTTGCAGATGGTACACACGTCTGCTACTGAGCGTCAGTAGTGGAGGGAATGAATGCTCGTGGATGTAGTGCCAATCGAGCAGGCTGCTTTGTCCTGGATGGTGTCAAGCATCTTGAATGTTGTTGGGGCTGCACTCATCCAGACAAGTGGGGAGTATTCCATCATGCTCCTCATTGATGCCTTGTAGATGGTAGACAGGCTTTGAGTCGTCAGGAGGGGAGTTACTCGCCGCAGTATTTCTAGCTTCTGGCCTGCTCTTGGAGCCCCTGCGTTAATGTGGTGAGTCCAGCTGAGTTTCCGGTCAATGGTAACCCCCAGGATGTTGATAGTGGGGGATTCAGTGATGGTAACACCATTGAATGTCAAGGGGCGGTGGTTAGATTGTCTCTTATTGGTGATGGTCATAGCCTGGCATTAGTGTGGCGCAAATATGACTTGCCACTTGTCAGCCCAAGTCTGAATATTGTCCAGATCTTGTTGCATGTGAACATGGACCGCTCCAGTGTCCGAGGAGTCACGAATGGTGCTGAACATTGCGCAATTATTGGCAAACATCCCCACTTCTGACCTTATGATGGAGGGAAGGTCATTCATAAGCAGCTGAAGATGGCTGGGCCTGGGACACTACCCTGAGGAACTCCTGCAGAGATATCCTGGAGCTGAGACGATTGACCACCAACAACCACGACCATCTTCCTATGTGTCAGGTATGACTCCAACCACCGGACAGTTTGCTCCCCGGTACCCATTAATTCCTGTTTTGCTAGGTCTTCTTGATGCCACGCTCGGTCGAATGCAGCCTTGAGATCAAAGGCTGTCACTCTCACCTCACCTTTGGAGTTTAGCTCTTTCATCCATGTTTGAAACAAGGTTGTAATGAGATCAGGAACTGAGTAGCCCTGGCAGAACCCAAACTGGGCATCACTGAGCAGGTTATTGCTGAGCAGGTGCTGCTTGATAGCACTGTTGATGACACCTTCGTCACTTTACTGATGATCAAGAGGAGATGGATGGGGCGGTAATTGGCAGGGTTGGATTTGTCATGCTTTTTGTGTACAGGACATGTGGGCAATTTTCCACATTGTCAGGTAGGTACGAGTGTTGCAACTGTACTGGAACAGCTTGGCTAGGGGAATGGCACTTTCTGGAGCACAAGTCTTCCGTACTATTGCCAGAATGTTGTCAGGGCCCGTAGCCTTTGCAGTATCCATTGTCTCCAACCATTTCTTGATATCAAACAGAGTGAATCAAATTGGCTGAAGACTGGTACCCGTGACCTGTAATGCTGGGGACCATTGGAGGCGGCCGAAATGGATCATCCACTCTGCACTTCTGGCTGAAGGTTGCTGCGAAAGCTTCAGCCTTACCTTTTGCACTGATTTGCTGGGCTCTTCCATCATTGAGGATGGGGATATTCTAGAGTAGCAACCAGTAATGTGTGGTGCCAAAGGGGTCAGGGCTGGGACCACAATTGTCTAGTGACTTGGATGAGGAAAGTGAATGTAGTGTAGCCAATTCTGCAGATGGCACAAAAATAGGCGGTAAGGCAAGTGGTGAGGATTACACAAAGTCTATAGAGGGATATAGACTGAGTATGCAAAAACTCTGCATACGGAATATAACGTGCAGACAGGGGAGGTTATATACTTGGGCAGGAAAAACAGAGGTGCTGAATATTATTTAGATGGAGAAATAATGCCGAAAGTTATGAAGTACAGGGTTTTGGGAGTCCTTGCCCAAGAATCAGAAAAACAAGCATCCAAGTTCGGAGGGTAAAAAGGAAAGGCAAATTGAATGTTGGCCTTTATTTTGAAGGGAATGAAGTATAAAATTAGTCAAGTTTTGCTGAAACTGTACAAGGTACTACTGAGACCACATCTGGAAAACTGTGAACCGAGTTGAATCCCTTCTCTAAGGAAAGGGATACTGGCATTGGAGGTCGTCCAGTGAAGATTTGCTAGGTTGATGCCCTGCCATGGAGGGACTGTCTTGTGAGGTCAGGTTAAGTAGATCAGGCATACATTCATTGGAATGTAGGAGAACGAGAGGCAACCTTATTGACACATACGAGATTCCTCAAGGACTGAGCAGGGTCAATTCAGAAAGGTTGTTTCTTCCAATGGGAGATTCTATGTTTATCTTTTTAACTTTATTTCTTATATTATGAATAATTATAAAGGTAATATAACTATTTTTCTTTATTTCTCTGTTTTGTATCTAAAATTTTTACCTAAGATGGCACTGGGTGGGATGACATTGTAAACTTTTCACTATACTTCACTACACTAATTCTAAGAGCAGAAGCATAATCTCAGAAAAAAGGGGTCACACACATTTAACGCACAGATGAAGCGGAATTTCTTCTCTTAGGAAATTCTGCATCAGAGGACTGTTGAGGCTGAGTCATGAAGCATATTCAAGGCCAAGATAAACATGTTTTTAATCAGTAAGGGAATCAATGGTTATGGAAAAAAGGCAGGAAGTGAAGCTCAATGGGCTCAATAGCCTACTTCTGATCCGGTGTCTTACGGGTTTTTTTAACCTCACTTTGCAATAAAATTCAAGGTTATTTAAATATATTATGTCATAACACGAAGGCAGTTTTGAAATACAGCTAATTACAAGCATCACTTTAGAAACAATTTCATAAGTCTCAAGATCCATAGAAGTCTTTGATGTCTGGATAAACTGATGTATAATTAAGACTACTTTCAAAAGTAAACCAGAGTCTGATCACAAGAAAAAGCCCATCGGACATTTTAGACAGGAAACACTGAAGAGTGCTCCCATTCTGGCAAACGATTCTGAAAATAATTTTCATCTCCATTACTTGATTCTATTCCATTTGTTGATCACTGCAAATCAAAAACACCTTTAGATAATCAGCCCTAAATCACATTTTAAACCCATGACACAGTTTCAATAGAATCTGAAAGCATTGTTTGTGATCTGCTGATCAACAGAACACATTGAGGTGCTTTCTACCAGACCTCAAACTGATCCTGAAAATTATATTTTGTTAGCAGAATCTTGGTCGGACAGGCATAAATGCTGCTGCAGTCAGTCATCCTAGGCAAGTTGACCAAAACACCACAACATCAAATCATCACCTTTCTCACTTTCTACAGCTGTTTGCTTATCATTGTTTCTTTTTCTGGGCCTTGTATAAATAATGCAAAACCTACTTTCCGATTGAACAAAACTGCTGATAGACAGAAAACTCTGTTGCCTCATTCAAATGGTCGTGCCTTGTGTCAAAACTTAGGCAGTAAATGCTAGCTTCACAACCGATCCCAGGGAGGTCTTCAAGCACTAGTCCACATAAATCCACTTCCCACCAGGAATCATTGAATAGCAAAGAGCAGAAAATTTTGGCTGCCTTTCCCTCCTTGCTAAACAAGAGACTGAGGTCAACAGCCCGTCTCCGCTTGCTCACCCCATTTTTCCTCAGGTTGACATCAGCGAACAAAACTCTGCACATTGATCTTTACGTTTATGTAATCCCAAAATGCTGTCTCTTTACAACAGCTTTGCAGAAAGAAACAAGGGTCCAAAATCAATTTGCAGCCTCCAGTCTTCCTTTTACCCACAAATTCTATAAATCATCTAAGCGTCAGCATCAAGACAAACAAAGGGGCTGGCGATTGCAAAGTCAGTTCACCTTACCTCTTTAGTTTCTTCAGGGTCTGTGTGATCCACAGTAACGTACAAGTCATTCTGTAAATATTTTAAAGCACTTAAAGGATCTGCTCGAGCTTTTTCCTCAAATCTACAGTAGAGGATTGAAGAAAAAATATCAACCAACTTGCAAGACAAGAAAATACATTACATTCCACTATACTTTGACAGAAGTATGGAAAGTTATCCACAGCTTCAGTTACAGAGCTCAGAAGTTTTAGAATAATGGTTGGAAATGTGATTTGGAAATCTGGCATTTCCAGGTGACAAAGGGACAAGGAATACAAGTTGTTCAAGGGACTTGGTTACTGATTCTTGTAGTCAGTTGCACACCTGCTATGTTAGAAATTCAGGCACTGTCTCAAACTAGAGAGGGCTTGCAGCATAAGGGATCCTAAGGACGGGAAAATCCACTGAACAGGACAGCTCTTGCAAAGAAATAGAAAACCTGATAGCCAAGCTGATTTTTTTTTTTGGGATATTAAACCATTTTTCACTATATTTCCCAATATCCCTTAAAAATCTCCATAACAAAGAGAAAAACACATAGCGGTTGGATTATTACGAAAGATGACAGCAGAAGGAAAATGCATCTATATCCTTTAACTCTACAAGTGTCAAATATATCAGAATAAGAAATGGACACAAAACGTCAATGAAGCATACCTTATGATAATATTAGTCAGAGAATGAGACCAAGCAACCAGGAATAACTGGGGATTAACAGTAAATTTAAGAGCCAAGCTTTTAGCACACATCCACAGCTACAAACAACACTCAGGGTAGTTGAGTGGCACAAAGATTTTAAGAGCACAAAACCTAAGCACTTTATCGAGGGCAACTTTGGAGATGGTTCTCGAATACCTGTGTCGCCGGATGAGGTATCTGCAATGTCTCAGGAGGTAGTCCTTGGAAGGACGGCAAAGCTTCAGTGACCAAAAGTCATCTAATCTCATCTTGGGCGAACACGACTTCCCGGGATTCCCACCAAACAAGTAATGAACCTGCTCTCATAAATACAGGGATTCATTTATTACTTGCAAAAAAAAAATAAACCTGTGATCAATATTCTAAAAACATATTAAATCTAAACTTATGGTGCAAAAATTCCTCAATTCAGAGGCTGAAATAAGTTTGCACCAAACAGGGTTATCTCCTATTTTAGATTTTGCTTTGGACATGTAGGTAGTGAGATAATGTGACAGTGAGAAAGGTTGACAGGTGTGTCCATTTAAACCAAATGATGCGTATTCTGAAAATGCCTAGTTGCTTTCCAGATTTCCTCACTGCTCAAACATGTAGAGCAATCATTAAGGAAACAGGCAAGTATTTGATACAATGAGCAAACATCCACACAAGTACGAATTTCATGCATAAACTGCCACCTAATGCCGGAGAGTTCAAGTTGACAAAAAAATGCGGAAGAGTAAGAGAAGGAAAAGATCCAATTAAATAGAACATTTATTACTAATTATTCTTTTCCAAATCGCTCTCAAATTAAGAAACACACCTCTAAGGCTGGTCCCTAGGTTTTTATTAATGTCACTGACAACTACCGGCTAAGCATTCTCTGATTTTCCATCCCAAGGGAAATAACTTCTATGTGGAGGTACACAATTCTCACTTTCTCCTTGGAGCATTTCAGCACCATGAGGTCAGAAACAGGATTTTTCCTCTTACAGACAAGAATGAACTTCACTGAGGGAATCAGTCACTATCAAGCGACATTACAATGATTTTTAGTCATTTTGCACTGAAAAACAGGATTCTCACTGCAGTCTCAAGATTGCTTCAAGGTTGAAACATTTGAGAGATAGAGATACTGTTTAGTTAATGCTGTCAATTTATTGCAATCTGTAAACTTATACAGAAACACGATAAGTCAACAGATTAATCGCCACACTTAATTTGGATCTATACTTAGTTAAGTTTTTGAGAATATACTATATTTAAAGGACTGCCTGGGGGAGAAAAGCATGGCAACATGTAACTATTTTGACATGGCCTGCATTGAAGAGTGTTTTTAGCGATGTGATTCCTTTGAAACGAAGCCAAGAGGAGTTTAATGTGTGTTGTGTTTTTCCTGCTGTTTGTTAGAAATCAGATGACTGGGAAGAAAGCAGTGAAACAAAGCTTTCAAGGAGGCATGAGATGGGGCTTATTGTATACCAGAGAAAAAAAAAGATTTTGCAACATCTGGGAGGGCCTCTAAGCTGTGGTTGTGTAGCAACCCTTCCTGGTCTTGTAACTCTGCCTGAAAGCCACAGGAATTGGTCTAAGAAAGCATCCATAAGTTGCCATTCTCACTCTTGAAATACTGAGAACCTGGCAGGGAGTTCTTAAATACTATTATTTCTATCTGCCTGTTAAAACCTGAAGGAGTGGACTGTGTACAATCCCCAGTGACTCAAATCTAAGTTGACTGCAATCAAAACTGCACATTTGTCATCAACTACGACAGTCATCAATTCAATGTTGTCCGCAGGGTCTTTTTTAAAAATCTATTTTGCCTATTCAAAAATAAACTCCACAAAGACTTGTCTTTGTGTACCGTGTGTGTCTGTCTGTGGGGTTAAGGGTAAGTGGTTTTGCATTCCAATCATAGTTTAGGTGCTAATCAGTGGTTGCCACTTGCTTCCATGGTAAAAACCAAAAGAACTGCGGGTGCTGTAAATCAGGAACAAAAACAAAGTTGCTGGAAAAGCTCAGCAGGTCTGGCAGCATCTGTGAAGGAGAAAACAGAGTTAACGTTTCGGGTCCAGTGACCCTTCCTCTTGTTAGAGGTATTCAAGTAACTCCAGTGAAAGTTAATTTTATTCTGGACGGTGGTAGTAAAGAGCAGCAATTGGCCATCATAATTTGAGTTTGATTTCAGTCCATTGTTTCCATCACAGTCATAACAAAAGTTAAGAAATTAAAATAACAAGTAAATATTTCAAGATTCAGCGTTTGTTTTGAGTCTTTTAAATACATCTTAGATGAATACAAGACAGGATACTTCAGCTCCACTGACCTGCACCTGACCAGAAAACAGAAATAAAGTTGGGCTGAATAAAATGAGGAGATGGCCAACAGCTTCCAAAAGTTATTCCAGACAGAGAGGCACCTAAATAAAGTTGCAATCAAGCCAGACCAAATACATCTTGGAGCATTCTCAACACTGGACTACTTGATCCACTCACTTCTATCAGTGCTTTGATGAGCTATAATCAGATTGGTCCTAACATTAGATGCCTACAAATTGACAGATATCCAAAAAACTGTAACCTGTTATGAAAAAGGATATTAATTTTCAAATGTGTTCGGCAAGGTTAACGTGCATTCTTAGTCACCTGAACCGTAATCAACAAAGAAAACAACCACTATTCTTCCAAGATTCCATACATTGGTTCAAACTCCAGGGTCAATGGAGCTTTGAAATCAGAGTGCCAATTTGCAGAGACAAGAAACTTTCACGATACAGCTACTGGCTGCAGGGATTCTTGGTCCAACTAGAAATTCACATGAAAAAGTGTAATGGACGAACAGTTTGGAGCACAACACAGAATAAAACCAGTGATAACAAGGTGTAGAGCTAGATGAACACAGCAGGCCAAGCAGCATCAGAGGAGCAGGAAAGCTGATGTTCCGGGTCTAGACCCTTCTGTCACATACACAGAACCTAAACAGCAGACAGTTGCAGGTACGGAAATGTTCAATATGCTATTCTAATATCACTGTTTTAGAAATTTCTTCCATTCTAGGTCCAAAGGCTATGGAAGAAACAAAGTAAAACTGTTGCTGCAGTGCTCCACATCTAACACTGAACCATAGGATATCTCCGGAGTTACAAACCAGTAATAATCATCAAAGTTTTTATTTTGTTAGACCTGTTCAAAGTGTGTCTGAAAACAGTGCATTTGATAACAGACGGAGCAAAAAGCAGGTTCTGACAATCTGGACCATGCTGTCCAATCGAAGCATCAGGGATATGGACAAACATTATGTAAAGTCAAAGTCCGTTCATGCCCCAACAATCCTGAGCCAGCAGGAAATAGCTAACTTTGCCATTATTAGGAACTGTCTTACATACAGGCGGTTGGAAATGCTTCTGGTTGAACAAGCATGATGGTCCAACACTGGTACTTCATAGTGACTCAAAATTTTGAGGTGCAGCATTTCTTATTTCTTGATTCTCTGGGTTCCTACGGGCTTTTATCAACTGCAGTATTGGTAAGCTGAGTATTTATACTGAAACAAACTTGAAATTCAAAGAAGATAGATGGGAACAGCAACATTCGGGGCACATCACCTTTTCATCACTCAAGGCATTTCACCATTTGTCTGTCTTCCTTTGTACTCCATCTATCTGCCTACAGCAATTCACATGGGGACTCAAGAATGCTTTCAGAAAGTGGCTTCATCAACAAACTACCACCATGAAGTTTGAGGACAGACATTCCAACACCAATAACAGAAGGAAGGTCAAGTACCTCACAGTGAGGGGCACCTGTGGCAGTGCAGAAAAATCACAAATCAGTTACTCTGAGAAAGTAATCTATCAGAGATCAATAACTGAATATTTATCAAGAGTAGCCACCACATCGACCAAACACCTACATTTTTTGAAGCTGAAGTCTCTGTTGACCAGAAATAAGAATGAGATTCTTATTGTTACCTCTTCTAACATATCAGGCTGTTCTTTAAACATCAGACATCAAATACAATGCAGTGAGAAGATCTATACTAAATTACAATTTCTTGCAGTTTTGAAAGAAATTCCATAGTTGTGAACAGTATTCAAAAACCAGAACGACTAGGTACTCAATTAAGACGTTAACAATCATATGAGGGAACAAACTATGCTTGATCACCCACATGAAACTCCCTGGATAATCTTATACTAATATGCACCTGACCAACAGCCAATATTTCATGCGCAGAAGTAACCGTTGTTAAATGACAAATGGGATAGTCTCACGGTAGTTGGACAAATGCACAAGGTGGGTGATTCGAGTCGAGAGTTGTTGCAGAACTGTCAGGGCAGGAGAGGCCTCTGCCCACTCCATCCTACAAGGAAAACTACAAATAAGATCTATTAAAAAATTAAACCCGCCCCATCCAAGTTCATTTCTCAGGATGTTCCTTGTCAGAAATTCTGGCAAGGGTCACTAGTTTATTGATAATACCATATCAGGGACCTAGTTAAATCACTCCAACATATTTATTCGACCCTGGACTGCTGAGGGACTCAAACTCTGCCTGAAGACTGAGGCCAGCCCAGAAAGCAACCATTCAATGCAGTGAGACTCTTCTGGGACTTGACAACCTCTAAGACACGTCAGATCATCGACATGGATACTCCCATCATGCATGGAAACACCACGTGCTACGCACACAGCAGATACTAAGTGACTAAGTCAATGTCGTGTCTCTCATACGCTGCAGGCAAAAATGCCCCAGGCATTGTATATTAGCGAGACCATGCAGACGCTACAACAACAGATGGATATTACATAACAATCACTAGACAGGAATGTTCTCTCCCATTCGGGAGACACTTCAGCGGTCAAGGACATTCAGCCTCTCATCTTTGGGTAAGCGTCTTCCAAGGCGGCTTTTGGAGATACACAACAACACAGAATCACTGAGCAGTAACTGATAGCTAAGTTCTGTACCTGTGAAGATAACATGATTTTGGG